ACCGTATTGGCTGATTCGCAGCGCGATTCCTGTGGCAGGCCTTGAGAAGTCAGTTACCAGTGCCTCCACTGTCAGGGCCAACAACGCGATGGACAGGTATTCTCCATCACAACAACCACTCTCTCTCGCAGTCACTCTATTATTGGTGACACGTTTTTGCCGATAAAATTCGTACGAAATTATCATTTTGTGATCCAATCGATAAGCACCATTAAAAACATATTCTCGTAGTTATTCATTTCGCTGACAAATACCCCGAAGCTATTAATTAGTAATTCATTATGAACTCAAAACTGAACGCAACTTTTAGATATATTTCGTATAAAAAACTCTCATTTCTATCATTCATTAGTTACTCTATAATTGCATTTGCAAATGTCAGTCAAACAAATGAATTATAAAAGGACTTCACATTATATTAATAACTACTCATCAAAACAATCAAATAAATAACAACAAATGCAAACAATTCGTACGATTATAACACATTTCACATGAATTTCTTTTATTCATAATTAAAATTATAAAAGAGACAAAAAAAAGTGCTAATTAGTCACAAACAAAAAAAGTACTGAAATATTGAAATGTGAATCAAAAACAAAATGAATTCTTAAATCTAAGACAATATATGAATGGTTAAAGTCGCGAATAAGTTGGGCGTAAAATGGTTGTCGCAAACGACACGTCCATTCAAATATGTGTTTAACGGCCTTCGACTGCGGAAAGGGATTAAAACAAAGACAAAACCATTAATAAGACACAAACACCACACGATCTCAACAACAAAACACATACTATAGGAGGAAATGTCGATCTCTTCGGGCAATTCGGGAATATTAACGTCGAAGCGGTCCTGAACTTCATTCAAGATCTTGGCGTCGGTCTCGTCCGACACGAAAGTGATGGCCAGCCCTTTGGTGCCGAAGCGTCCGGCGCGCGCCACGCGATGCAGGTATGTGTCGCTGTCCTCCGGCATGTCGTAGTTGAACACAATGTTCACTCTCTCGA